CCAACGACGACCGAGCTGTCGTGAAATAAGCCCTCCGAGAGAGACGACCATGGACCCGAACGGCGCCGCAAAAATGTTCACTCGACCACCAAAGCACGACTCGCCCGTCCCTCGCAAACTGGAAACCACCCAGAGCGTGTGCAGAGAGTCCCTCGTAACTCGAGTACAAGGTCCCAAAACCCACGTCCGGAACGTCGCCTTCCTCGACTACAAGGGGGCTGCTAAGCACGCCGGCCCCTATAAGAGTGCAAACGGGACTCCAAACCGCCAACCACCGACTATTTGGCACATCCGGAGGGTGCTCACTGAGCCATCCGCCGAGGGACCTGCACATGTCCCTTTCCAGCAAGCTGACTGAACAGACCCCAATGGCGATGTCCCCCTCGGGACCTCATCCCTTTCCGCTCTCAATAAGACGCCTCAGGACCTTCGATCTTGGGAGACCCCCTTTTCTCGGGGCCGTTCCTACGCCCGAGTGGCAGTGCGCGGTATCTGCTGCCCCCACAAAATTCGACACCTCAAAAATCCGTCCCATCTCCGTCCCTTCCACACGCAAAGGGATAAGGGGAAGGACTTGGGAAAAAAAATAAATACATTGAAAAAAACAAAAAAAGGGATGAAACAAACAGAGAAAAGGCCAAGCAGCTTCTGTGCCTAGCGACTCAGATCATTCCGCGGTGTGGGAGTGAAACGTTTACGGGAAGTCTGGCAGAATCGTGCGTCCGTTGTGGGGTTACGTGTTGGTGAACATGACCGGACATGCACTCCAGAAAGAGAAGGGGGGAAAGAAAAGTCAAGGATGACTTGACAAAATCGTCATTTCAATTTATGTCGGCCCCGAAAAAAACTGCATCCGGCAGAAGAAGCAAGGCTGAAAACCGGACATCCATAAGCATTTTCGTGCATGTCATGGAGAACACCATGGAGCCAATCAGGTACCGCCTCCAGTGAAGCAGGCCGCCATGATCACGCGCACGAGCGGGGAGGGCCGGATAAGGCAGGAAGTGGGCCGTTTGGCCCCGCCATGAACATCATTTGGTGGGGGGGGGCACAAAGGGCAGGAAGCGGCCTCCCTGTTCCCAAAGCTGGGGGGCGCGGGGCCCCACCAAGATCATGACTACGCAGTCGTGTGGGGAGGGCCACGTAGGGCAAGAAGTGGGTATTTTGTTCCCAAGCCATCATATTACGCACACACATGGGGAGGGGCCAGATAGGGTGAGAATTGGCTTTCCAGGTCCGAAACACCAGGGGCATGCCCCCCCACCACGATTACGCTTGTACGCAAGGGGGGCCAGAAGCCCTCCGTCTCTGCCCCTCTACAAAAAATCTTCCGTTAAATTGATTGAATACTTGCTTGAGCAAACTTTTATCTACAGAATGAGATGATTCAGAATTTTGTTTTCATCATGAAA